CGACTGTGGAAATTAATTTATTGCAAAGTTGTATTCGGAAAGAATAAACCAGTTTTATTTAAGAAAGGACTTGTATCGCTAAAGTTTCTTCTGAAATAATTTTTACGGAAAATTAACTAACGACCTGAGACGTAACAGTATGCTATACAATAAGCCTATTAAAATTAGTCCTGTAATATAAGGCTAGTAAAACGTTATTCAGTTTAATTAGTCAAACTGCTTTTAAGTATGAATGATCAGCACATTTGCGGTTTTAAAATAAAATAAATCATTGTATTTTATACTTATGTTTATAGAGTTTTCAAGACGTACAAAAGATAAAGATTTAAGAAATGAGTTGTTATTAATTAAACATATAGCATTTGAAAGGGGACTTAAAATATATTGTAGATAGAGGTTTTAATAGATTTTGTAATGATTCAATGTCATTTAAAAATGTACGTAAACATATGTTTATGAGAAACTAAAAAAGAAACTTTAAATTTACCTTATAATCCAGGATTAACAGGCCAATCATTTAATGTCTTTATGAAGCTGCAAGAATGTTATTTTAGTTTTGTTAAGTTACTATCTCCTGAAGATGATGCAAAATGTCGAAACATATAGAGTATTTTTTAATTATTCGAAGAAGATACTTCAAGAAATAATTCTTTAAGTTGTTTATAAGTTTACATGTAATTGCTTTTACCCGTATAAATATTGTTACAGTCACAACTTACTGATTGTTTAAAATTATCAACAACGATATTTATAAGCTGTACTTGCATAGCTGAATCGATGGAACTGTTTCTGAAATTTTCTTGAAGAAATCATTCTAGTTCACCTAACGGATTTATAATAATCATAAAGAAGACCCAAAAAGTTTAGTTAATGGTCTAACTGTTTACAACATTCGAACGTTTTGGGTCAATATATATATATATATTGTAGTAATAAATATAAGTAAAGTCTTAATACAGAATGAAATGAAAAATTTTGTAATTAGAGTTTATACTCATCGAAGAGAGTGGCCTCCTAGTGGCACAGCGGTATGTCTGCGGACTTACAACGCTAGAATCCGGGTTTCGATGCCCGTGGTGGGCAGAGCACATATAGCCCATTGTGTAGCTTTATGCTTAATTACAAACAAACAAACGAAGAGAGTGTTTAACTTTAATAGCCATTCTGAAACCGGGTGAAAGCAATATATATAAAATACAATGCATTTCCTACGATGAGTGTTATTACACGTTGTTTTCCAGTGTTATTTTTCATTGTTGTTGCTGGATTTCGCGCAAAGCTACACGAGGACGCGGTAGTCGTACCTAATTTTGAAGAGATAGATAGGAAATGCAGCTAATCAATCCCACCCACCGCCAATTATTATGGATCTTTTATCAGACTGAAAAAAAAAAGGGGATTTGACCGTCATTCTCATAAAGCGCCCATTACCGTAGGAAACAATTTTGGAGTGGTCCCGCCATTGCTACATTGCCATTTCTAGAGGGGTCTGGAAGCATGCCCTGAGAAATTTTTTACAAATTTAATGTTATGAGATTGAATTTTGAGCCATTTTAACTACGAAAACTGCATACACACGACGTATTGTTTTGACTGAAAAGAAGCAAGTTTTAATGCAAAAGCTGTAGCCATACATGCTATGGAAAAGTGGCCAGGCCATGGCCAGACTGGCATTACCGTTTTCTGTATCCCTGGCACCCACTGCCCCAAAGTGCGGAGCGTGATTTTGTTTTTAACGAAAAACTGACGCGAATTACAGAACCTCACTTCATAATCTGGACAGCGCTCGGTCCTCCAGTTATAACATATCTAACTCTGTAATCGACACCTGCTGCAGTTCCCACATCGGTCAAAACTGATATATGCACCTTAGCTGCTTCTAGGTGCTCGCTGTCTCGGAAAGTCGGAAACATACCATCAGTGAACACGGTTTTGTATCTACCAGCCAAAAGAAGGAAAACTGTTGGTAAATCAACTTATTGGATTAATTCCCGTGAGTAAATACTAAATTTTAATTTACACTCATGAGGTTCTAATCATAAGTACTATAATTAAATACAAAAGTAATATTTTTCAGAGGTTTTAGTCTTCAGACCTGATTTTGAGTTCTTTGTTTCTTGAGTATCAATGCATGTGATATTAAACAAATACAACTGTATGAGTGTTCACAATATTACATCTTTCTCAGTGATAAGTTAAATTTATTATCGATGAATGCGAAAAGCTGAAACGTTGATTACCAAATTTAAGTTTTTGGTGCTGAAAAGGTCATAGCTTAGGTAATAAAAAAAAGGTTCTTCAGTATGCTCTACGTGAATAAAAAAATACTATAAGTAGACAACAGTTTTTAACTTCTTTTAGGCCACGCAGTAATCGTAATTTATACCTATATAGAAATAAATGTAGAGATACTTTTACATCAGAAATAAGAAATCACTTTCTAACAACAAAGTTCTATGTTTATCAATAAGGCTGACTGATATCAAGCATGACGATTGTAATGGTATACATACTGCCAATGTTACTGGGGCGATCCTATGACATGAAAACTGATCAAGTTGGAGTTGATATCTTTCCAATGGCTGACTTGGATCCTAAGAATGGCAAACTAGAAGTAAGTAGTTTTACAATGGTTTCTTGTTCTCTTTAATCAACATAAGACTTCCAGAATGTACAGTTATTAAACTCCATTAAAATCCCAAACATTTAGATATCCTAACGGAGAAATAACCATTTTCTTTGGAAATGTATACCTTATCTAACTTAGATTAAACGACAAATACCATCGCTAATATACTAAAGACCTGAGGCAGGCAAATTATTAATATAAAATTCAATTTTTTAGTAATTTTATACACCGAAAACGTCGGTAGTGTGCCAACTGTCACTTTATTTTCTGTTGTTATTCTAATTAACTTTAAACATCATTATTGGTTGTGTTCCTAAATCAGTTATAGACTGCCAGTTGTTAAACCTAGTTTGAATTTTTTACAATAAATTACAACTGTGCTCTTGATGGCTGTGTTGATTTATTTTTTAAATGACTTATGTAACCTTGTTATTATCAATTATTGGAGACAAAATATTGAAAAAGCAACTTGTTTGTTTTGTTGTTGTTAAGCACAAAACTACACAGTACAATATCTGTGCTGTGCTCGTCACAGGCATCGAAACCCGATTTTTAGGGTTATAAGACTTCAGAATTACTGTTGAGCCAGTGGAGGCCCAAACAGTTGGAAATAGAGGAACAAGATTTATATCTGAGTATCAATGTATGGCAAAGTTTTAGGAGTGATGCAGCTGACACGTTTTAAGCATAACAGGAGGAAGAAAAATAAATTTAAATGTTTTATTATGTAACATGTCATTTGCTGGTTTCGTAATTGTAACATTACAAAGGCTTAATCCGAAACAAGAGAAACAGTATTGAAATCGTCTAGTATTGCTAACAAAAACTAAGTGACGGTAATAGGGAATGAGATATATATATAATTCCTCACTCTTGGTGTTCCTGTGGACCTTTTGATCGGTATCCACTCTATATATTTCTTCTGTTACCTCTCTAAGTTACTAATTAGTAAAAATATTTCACTTTTACAATGAACAAACCCATATTTTATAAGCTTTATTTGACCTTGCATACAAAAGGGTTTCAAAACAAAACTTATAAAAACACTTACAACAGTTAACAATGACGGTTTAAACGCCAAAAGTCGTCAAGAACGTGTTTAAACTGTAACTTTTAAAGTACTAAATTGCACATCTTACTATAATGGACGTAGTGTGTACATATGTATCTATGTATGTGACTGAAATAACAAATACAGTGTGGTGCCATTGAATAGATGGCGCCACAAACAAAAGTCCATAAAAAAAATTCACACTTTGTATTTAAGATTCAGACAATTAGAAAAATAAC